TAAGTGCTACTTTTTCGAAAAATTTTCAAAAAATTTTAATTTGACTTTTAAACATCATCATAAAATTATCAATAACAATTGGCCCGATGTGATATTTTAAAGTGTTATGGTAATTATTTCAACAAATATTTTTTTACTAATACACAACATCGATTTGCTTAGTAAAAAAACGAGTATTTGTATTACCCGTTTATTCAATTATTTTGGTGGATCATCAAGTGAGTCGATACTTTTTGTAGGGGTGTGTATATACAAAAAAAAAATTCCCCATTTTTATTATTTTTTATTAAATTTACAATTAAACCTTCTACATAAAAGATTGTGAAATATAAAAATGAAAATATATATATCCTGCTATACATATATTTTTATCAACTTCATTTGATATACGTTTTTTCCATTCTATTAAAATTTCACCACGTAAAATTTGTGGCCGCCTAGCTTGTTTTTTAATTAAAGATTGTTGTTGATAAATTAATTTGTTCAAGAGGATGTACTTCTTCTGATTGATTATGTGAGGTAGAAGGATTCCATGGAACAGGATCTAAGCACACAACATATGTTTCTTGATTTTGTGAATATACTTTTTTCCCCCATTGATTAGAATTCAAAATTCCACTTATAATCTCATATGCTTTTTCACCCTGAAAAATACACTTATAATTCCCTTTTGTTCTAGAATAATAATGAATATTCCCAGCAAAAATAGAAAAAAAAGACTCTCAGGACATGGTACAGATACTAATTTCTTTCCCATATACCTAAAATTTAAAACCAATTTTTTGTGTATTTCTATAATCAAGATCTCTTTAAATTCTGCAATAATATTAGTTGGCAATCTATCAAGATCTTGATGTTGATTATATTGTTGTATTATTCTATTGTGTTGCATTAAACCACGTGAGCTTTTAAATTTTTTTCCACAAATAGAACATAAAAAGCAAGTATTTGATGAAGGAGGAGGTATAGAGAGATGCATAATAGTGGAGTGTAAGGAAATATTGACATGCTAACAGGAGAAAATAATAATTATTTAATAAATAAAAAAAATAGTTATTAATATCCAAATAAATTTTTTAATCACCATTTTTTAGAAAGAAAACTCTTTAATATTATTAATATAATTGAAGTTATTGGCTGTTTAGTATTTGGAAAACTATGCAGCTGATGCTTACAATAATAAACTCACATTTTAAGTTTTCTAGTATTTGCAGCTGATGCCTATAATAATAAACTCGCGTTTTAAGTTTTCTTTGTTATTCTATGAAAAATATAACTATTTGATAAAGTTATTTAGTAAAATTTTAAATTGTAATTGCGATGTTATTATTTTTTCTTACTATTAGAATCCAATGGGTTTTTCCAAATCCAATGGGTTTTTACTTAGTGTTTTGCTTTTAACAAGGGTAAACTTTAACGACATTGTCCCTGTCAACCAATCAAAGCCAGAGAATTGTGTCGTACGATGACCTTATTTGGTTTCAATTATGCAAATCGGCCCATATGGTTTAAACTTTTAGAATTATACAAATTAATTTTTTTCTTTAATGCATGAAAAACTTTGAGTTCATTATAATCTAA